CGACCCTCGGTGCTCTGATTTCCCTTCCCCCGACCACACCTACTACTTCACCCACCCGGGATTTGTTGTCATCACCACCAGTTTCCCTCCTTTCCTCCTTCTTCTCTCGTATCATCAACTCAGCGTCGTTCCGTGGCCGGCCATAGCCCCCTATTGGCCCAGTACGTTTTGTGTGAATTGACGTAGCGGCGAACAGAGAACTCCGGAATTCCGAAGGCCCAATCCAAGTACGAGGCGGCCTGCGCCACGTGGCGGCCCCCGATGGCCTAACTTTTTGGGACCGCCTCCACCGCGGAGGGATTTCCCCGTCAACCGTCGCCCACAGTGTCCCGGCCCCATCAGACCTTGAGCCCCTTGCGCACGCACCCCTTATTCGCCTAATTGCATTCATACCCTCAAGACTCCCCCACTTTCCCAAAAATCCTTGGCACACCCCTTGTCGCACTTCCAGGCCCATACCCCACTCCGATCAGGAAGTCGCGCTGGGCGTGAGGTTGGGCGTCACAGCGTTCCCTGCATGCAAGATCCTAGAGACCATTGAACACATTTTTCTGCAATGCCCAGGTGCAATCTGGCTTTGGAGATGGCGGAACTGGATCTGGAGTCAGTTGGGTACCTGTCAACCCTGGCCCTGTGATTGGAAGGCTTTACTTTGTGAAACCTGGCACCCGGACCATATTGATGCCTTTTAAAAAAACCTCTTCAAAACCGGCAGGAGAGCTGTACTTTGGGATCTTTGGAGGAGGCACTGTACTTATGACATGGAGGGTGTGAGACTTGATGATCTGGAATTCACTAATTCCATAAAGCAGCGAGTACGAACTGATATCATCACTCAATGGGAAAAAACAAAAGAAATAATCAAACATTTATATTTAAAATCCCAACAATTTAGTGAATGCAAGCTGGGGGGGAGCCAAGGGGGTTGGTTGGGGATAATTCAGTGGAAGGGGGCACAAGAAGTGAACATGAGGAATTGAGGAGGGATTATCAATTGGTTTTTAATGATTGGTTGAATCCAAACCCCTCTATCTCACTCCAGCCTATTTCATATTTCCCAGATCTATTCCCTCCCTCATCTTTCAGGTTTGGCCAGGATTAATTTGGGGGTCAGTGAGTAGGGGATTATTGTGCATCCCAGTTGGTTTGGCCAGGATTAATTTGCGGGTCAGTGTAGGAGGTTATCTTTTTTTTTTTTTTTTTTTCACTGATGATGGCAATGGTGCAGGCTGCACAAAGTTTGAACGTCATTCGAATACCGCATGCTCTAAGGCCCATTCGAAGTACTTCTCTCCACTGGCAGGAAGTGAACATTCGAAAAAAGCAAAGCACAATCTGGGCCAGTGTAGGAGGTTATCTCAGTGACTGCAGTACGTAAAAAAAAGAGAGCTGGTTTGGACTCAGTTGTTGGGAGGGGTCTGCTAGCATGGGAAGGACACAGCAGGCGGCCAAGTATGGGCNCTGCAGTACGTAAAAAAAAGAGAGCTGGTTTGGACTCAGTTGTTGGGAGGGGTCTGCTAGCATGGGAAGGACACAGCAGGCGGCCAAGTATGGGCTGAAGAGGCAGGAGCCCTCCCACACTTTTTTTTTTTTTTTTTTTTTTTGGAAGAACAACCCGACCGGATGCTAGGTGTGCTGATACGAGCAGACACACCCAGCACCATCGGGGAGGCTCCATCTATTGGTGGGGAGCAGCACCTGCTGGAAATCGGGTCCAGCGTCCCTTAGATACATCTTTGTAATGCAGTGTCTGTTGGGCATATGGCCATTAGAGTTCTTGCTCCAGAGCATCCTTCTTTCCCTCGGGGCTGCATATGTTACCCTCCCAATTTGTATATAGCTCCTATGTCCTGCTGGCCTGGCCCCACCCAGGATGGTGTCCTCCTTGCATTTATGTCTACACTACTCCTGTTGGTAGTCTCTGAACTTCCATCCCCGGTGTGTGCAACCTCCCATAACTTCCGTATATTATTGTGTTATATGCTCTGTAAGGGACGCTGAACAGGCTTTCCAGCAGGTGAAGCTCCCCACTAAAAGATTGCAGCCAGCCACATGGCTGCTTGAGGAGTTTGCTGTATATCAGTTGTTCCGCCAGACCAACTCTGAGCAGATAGCCATGCTCGGTATATGGTTCTCTGTCACGGTCCCCTTTTCGAATATTTTTCAATGAGAGACAATAATGAGGAATAGGCTCTTTGGCTATGGCACATCAGAGCCCCCCTACAGATATGGAGATTGTATCATGTCGC